TATATATATATATATATATATATATATATATATATATATATATATATATATATATATATATGTATGTATGTATGTATATGCCATGTTCGGCCGTCAGGAGTGTTTGAACCCACGTGCAGGAGGATGACGAGGACGCTCGAGGAATAATAAAAATATATTTATTAAACAAAACAAAATGCTGACAGGGCAGCTACTCAGAAAACTGGAAACAGGCAGATCAGGGCTGACAAGACAAAAGGCTGAACACGACACCATGGAAGGATAATCCCGAGACAAAGACAAGACACCAGTGAACTGAATATATACACACACACACTGATTAGGACAATGACAGACACCTGCAGTGATTAACATTAGACACAGGTGAGACAGGGGCTGAACACAAGGGAAAACACAGAGTGCTGGAAACATGTGGAAACAGACAGAACCAAAACCCCACAGTACCCCCCACTCAAGGGATGTCTCCAGACATCCCAAGGACAAGCTACATCCAACTTGGGTGGGAGGTGGGACAAACCAAGACAGAGAAACACATAGGATCAGAAGAACAAAAAACAGACAGGAAAACCTGGGTAGCTAAACACAAAACCAAATCCAGGAACCCCAACCACAGTCAAGGTGGATGGTCAGGAGACCATCCAGGGCAGGACCAGTATTCAGGGGGACGGCCAGGAAACCATCCACCCCCAGGCCAGCGCTCCGGTGGACGGCCAGGGGACCATCCATCTCTGGGTAGTACAGGCGTCCTTCTAAGCCCTCCTGGACACAAGCATGTGAGGACCTCATCAGACAGACCAGGGGGCGGACCAGGGGTTGAAGCAGGGACGAAGACTTCTTCAGACGGGCCAGGGACGAAGACCTCTGCAGACGGGCCAGGGACAAAGACCTCTGCAGACGGGTCAGGGACTAAGACCTCTGCAGACGGGCCAGGGACGAAGACCTCTGCAAATGGGCCAGGGACGAAGACCTCTGCAGATGGGCCAGGGACGAAGACCTCTGCAGACGGGCCAGGATCTTCTGCGGTCGGACCAGGGATGAAGACCTCCACAGATGGGCCAGGAGTGAGGGTCTCAGACGGTCCGGGATCTTCTGCGGTCGGGCCAGGGATGAAGACCTCAGACGAGCCGGGAGCGAGGACCTCAGCCTAAGACGACTCGGGAGCATGGACTTCAGGTAAGCCAGGAGCGAGGACCTCGAAGAGCCAGAAGCGAGGACCTCGGGAGACGAGCCGGGAACCAGATCTGAAGCAGGTGCTGGAGTCAAGACTGCAGCAGGAGAGTTGTGTACCAGGACTACAGCTGGAGAACCAGGAACGGGGACCAGAGACAGGACTGCAGCTGGAGAACCAGGGACTAGAGA